GAGTAGGGGAATTAACCCCGGTGTTCAGGCAGATTTCCTCAGAACTGGCTCTGTCCTTCCACCCACCTAATCAGACTCTTCCTCTATTGGCTACATAATCCTTGTTACTTGTTACTACCTCTATTGCCAGGGTCGTCATTGCAAGACTAAACTGACTTCTCAGTTGACCTACCTGGCAGAATAAAGATAAAATTAAAGATGAAAAATAAAGGAAGTGCATGGTCTGTCCACAGCCACAGGCGATCATTCTGACCCTCAGAATACTGCTTCCTGTTGTGCTTTTGTGGTGTACAGGTGTTCGTAAATCACATGGGGTTTTTTGAATCACATGTTAACATAAAGGTATAATTCATTGGCTGCTATGACCTTTACCCAAAGAAAACATGTGTGGTAGAAACACTGTCTTTGCAATTGCTAACAGCTGTTAGCTACATCAATACATGTAGAAATAATTGACCCTTTCTTCATCAGATTTTTGACAATTTTTTGTGCAGTTACTACTATGAAATGGCCTTAGAAGTAGATCTGTCATTCTATAGGTCAACGGTACAGTAAATTACACATTTGTGACGAATCCTCCTGTCAGGGTGTGACAGGGTAATTTCCTGCCAGCTGATTGAGCGATGGGAATAATTGTATTCTCAGGCGAAGGTGTCTTAAATAACACCCCCGCGTTGTTCTGGGGTCTCCGAGATGTTAAGCGCTCTCTGTGGTTCCATCACGGAATGATTCATCACCCGCCATAGACAGGAAAGTCTGAAGGGATCAGTGACCACACACATGCTTTATACTAAGGACAGGATTCAATCTTAACGCAAAGACGCGCTTTGGCCTGGATTCAATCAGTACTGCAAAGGGGAAAAAATGTCAAATACACACACCTTTCTTGGTCTTAATATTTCTGGTCTGGGAATGTTTTTGTAGCTATCCAGAGTGCGTATTGCTTCTGAAATCTTGCTGTCACTTCTCCAGGAAGAAAAGGAGGAGGGATGTGATTTTAGATTTTCAGATACAGCTGAATTTTGTTCTTCTTTGCAAAGCCAATTTGACAAATTAACACGTGTTAGGGAAGAACGAATAGATTAACTATTAAGTTAATAAGGTCAAATGTTGATTGGCTCCATACCATTGTCTTTAAATTTAAGTCTAGATTGCTTTTTTTATTCCTTACTCCATAATTGCACTTTTGACTTTTCAGTAGTATTTAATACAGAAGAAGTAATATCAGATGACACATTTAAGAAGTACCATAAAATTGGCTTACACAGTAAAATGTTTACTGTTAATTCCACTCCGGTAGAGTATACAAGATCCCTCTTGGATTCATGCAAACTCTGATGCAGTTAAATTAACACCAAACACTGTCCTGTGTGTAAATTCCTTATCCAGTTGAATCTGAGCTGTAATCTTGAAGATAAAAATGTAAATGTGCAGAGCAAAGCAATAAATATGATGGGAACCTGAAATTCAGGAGCCTTGCCTCCTCTCCTCACCACGTTGTGCTCTCTAAACCTCAGCATTATATCAGCAGATCGAGTTCAGGCAGCGTGTTTCTGCATCGTCTTTTTCGCCCATTGCTGTTGGGTCATGACATGAGTCAGCCAACTTTGGAAAGGAGCTTTTTATTAGCCAGATGCTGATATTATGTGTGTGTGTGTGTTGTGTGTGTGTGTGTGTGTGTGTGTGTGTGTGTGTGTGTGTGAATGTGCATGCATATGTGTTTTTCACATTTTAACAAATTTTTCATGTGATCTACCTGGATCTGGAATGTTGTTATAACTTTGTTTCCCCACAATTAAAAAAAAATTTTTTTTTTTTTGGGGGGGTTCTTAACATGACACCCAAAAAAAAACTGGAATACAGAATTTCTGATTTGCATTGGAAATTGTGCGTGTAAGAGTGAATGTCCCTCTTAATTCTGAGGAGGCACTTAAAAAACACTTTACGTTTCTCCCGCATCCATCATTATGCGCTTCCCTCTGTCCCCGCCCTCCTCACCCACCCCTTCGCCTGAGCTCAGGCAGTATCTTCCAAAAAGGAGAAGCACAGCTGAAGCAGAGCCAGGACAGGGGCCTAATTAAGGCTGTTGTCAGGCCTGCTCTGGAGGACAGCAGTAAATCACAGCGGGACAGTACAGGGGGGCCGCTCGGGAAGCAGGAGAGGGGCGATTGATTCTCCATGGAGGTTGACCCCACCCCTTATCCCACTCCCCACCAACCTCCTACCTGTCCTCCCCTCTCCCCTACACATTATCTACTCCTGGCACCATTTTTAAGAAAGAAAAAAAAACTGGCATAGGCCTCAGGGTGTCTCACATTAAATGGCTTGAGAGAGAGAGAGAGAGAGAGAGAGCAGGAAGTCTCCCTTTCTTCCCACTCACGGCCCATCGCCATGATTTACGGCCCAATGTAACTCAAAGTTCATAAACTTCCCGACCCACTGATAGTTTATACAAGCCCAGTGATTTATTTTTGTCAAGCAACAGGACCGCAGGCCCATGTGACTGATAATCCTAGAGTCCTTGGTTTGGCTTCTGCTCAGTCAGTAAGTAGGTACACCATAGCCTCATGACAGGTTTCTGATGCTTCGTTTCTAAAAAGACATGCATCCAAAGCCGTGGCTCCCGGCCTGGCGCCCAGGATGGGGCAGAGATCGGCACCCAATGTTTGGCTCGTAAGCCATGGCAGCTGTCAGAGAGGGCCAAGGTCACCAGGAAGAAAAATTATACTTCATTTATTTAATTTCAACCCTCCTCTCAAGACTGAAACTGAAAAACTATTTCAAAAAGACTCTCTCTTCAAGATTGAGTTGAGTATGTCAGAAACAAAGTCAGTGCCAAAAAAACCAGCTGGATAGAAACTGTCAAAATATCCATTGTTCATAAATTATATAATGAAACGAGAAGATCAATATGCATACGCTTTATGAATATGCAACTCGTCAGTCGAGTGGGAAACATCTCCATTCATGAAGCACACCACAAAATGCTATTTTCAATTCTGGTCAGCAACAAACAACCCAGCCGACTGGGATGAGAGCGATATTTTTAAACATTTCAACGAGCATGACCTGAGCCTGTGACTGGAGGAAAAACTGCAGGTTATAGAGGAAACATGATACGGAGCCCCCTGAAAATAGTAACTGTGAACAATGTCCATTTAATGTGACCTCCATATATTACGCGGTCTTCACTGCCCCGTTCGCTCATCGGGCTGGAGGCCAGATCATCTCACCACACGCGCTTACCATATTTCCCCCTGTATCGGTGCTGGTGGCTGGGGGGTGGCGCGGAGGCGGGGGCTGGTTTCGGGTTCGGCAAACAGCTGTCTGGCGAGCGCCGGCGTGCAAGACTGTGCTACATCACTGTCACGCTCCCATCACCTGCGTTCTCTCCCTTATTCAACGCTCCTTCAATTCGTCAGCGTTTTTAGATGCAGCGTTTGACAAGGGCACGTCCAACAGATAGCCAATACATCATGCTTATGTCTCCCAGCGACAAGCCCCAGGACGTACAGCAGGGTTGCCTTTAGCCTTTCTTTTATAAACTCTTCAAGACAGGCGGTTTCACTGCATATATATATATATATATATATATATATAGTATTTTCCTGCTTTGCTGTCATTTGGTTGTTGTGCAAAGTCATGTGAAAAAAATTATTTTCCCACCTTGCTTAATTCAATCCAATTAAAGAGATAATTAGGTTTGACTGAATAATTGGTAAATACCTGGTAAAGAACCAGACCTGTGCTATAATGGAAAGAAATTCCTGATGACCTCTAGAAAAAACTAGTTGATGCCTACCAGGCAGGAAAGTTCAACTTTCCCCTGAAAAGGTTAAGGGGTGCTTCAGCACTGCCCAGCAATCGACTCGTTCACTTTAGTTCACAAACTTTAGTCACTCAAGACTTCACGCGGACTGCTGATACTATTCTCTGTCATCTACACCGGGTGAATTCTATTGCTCTTCACTCAGATCTAAATCTCACTTTTCATTTTCCTGTTGGTGGTGAGTGGGTAGTTAGTTTCTGCATCAGGAGGGGTTTATTTTTGGAGAACACCAAAAGAGGCCTTCGAACTACACTGCTTGTTCTCAGATCTTAAACGGATCTGTTATGTTGTGGGCAGCCATGTTGTGGGAGTCATTGGGATTAGTTTAATTTATCTTTATGGTAAAATTACAGCAAAAGACTATGCAGCCATTACAGTGATAAGGTGCACCCTACGGTGTGTGCATTGTTTCCTCAACATGGTCCCATATTCCAAGACAATTATTTCATTTCTAAAGCCTCACATTAGCTAGTAAATCATATTCAAAGAAATTTTTTCATGTTGTTAGTGATTCTTTTAGAGGAATATTTAGTAAATAAAATCAAATTAGAATACTATTGAAGTAAAACACGTTTTTTAGGACGAAATCCATTACTGTGTGCTGGAATTGTAGTCTCACCGTGGTTCAAGCTAACATGAACAGGCATGAGGTGAGGGGCAAACATTTGCCCTCGCCTTAAGCTTGACCAAAAATTCTGAGCCTATGCTGCACTCAACGCACATGCCGAGCAGAGGAAAGCGTGATAAACATAACAGCAACTGCAATGAGAGAAATATCTGCATCTCAGTGAAGTGGGTTGGAAAGAATCAGCTGAGTGGTCTAATCCCCCCCCCCCCATTTACCACCTTTTTTAACAAAGCGCTTCGCATGGACCTATAGGTGGGGGTATAGCTCAGTGGTAGAGCATTTGACTGCAGATCAAGAGGTCCCTGGTTCAATTCCGGGTGCCCCCTTTCGAGACCAATCCCATTTTAAACCTTGACAAATATGATTATACAAAATAATTTCAAAGTTGAAACCTTGTTAAAGATACAGGTTATGTAGGTATGCCAATCTAGAAATAAAACATACAGATCCTGGTTCCCCCTTGAAATCAACAAATTCTAAATGAATTGATGTATGGTTTTTGTGAATTTTTGTATGTATATTGTTAACATGCAGCATTTAACAAGGGGTATTGCTCAGTGGTAGAGCATTTAACTGCAGCTCAAGTGGTCCCAGGTTCAAATCCTGGTGTCCCCTTATATAAACAATATTTAATCCCTAATTCAAACATTGTCACTGGTCATATCAATTAGAGAAATGGCATTAGTCTGAGAATCACAAGATTCAATGTCCAAGTTCTGGTTTCCCCATATAAATATTTTCAATTAGGGTATAAAAAATGTATTCATTAAGATCAGGTTACATAAATGTGAAGTTATTTTTACTCAATAACATAGGTTTTCCATCCATTTCATGTCTGTTCCTCTTATCATAGATTCAGACACAGACAATGCAGTCTACAGATCTGCTCCATAAAGATTTTAAACTTTTCAATTTTAAAGATTATTTTCTTCATTTCCATTTACTTAGATTTTCATACATTTGATACATTTAAATAAAAACCATAGAAAAGAAACTGCTAGAAAGAAAATGGCTTTAATTCTTCATCTACCATAGGGAGTTTTAGAAAAGGAATAAAACACTGTCTTTCAGTTATTTCTTGTTAGGGACAAAAAGAAAAAAAATAATATCTTAAAGTACATGGACTAGGCATGGTAAAAAACCTTGAGATGAATGCTTGCCATTCTCAAGGTCATTGCTTCAAAAGAAGCCAGCATTCTTTCAAAAACCAAAAGTGACGAAACCTTTTACAATAAAATGCAAGCCTGTCGGTTTCTATAATGATAATGTAGTTATAACAATTAATATCAGCTCTTACTAACACCTAAGCTACTTCCCCTGATAAGTTACCAGCTCTTACTGGCTTCCAAAAACATGACAGTAATACAGAAGAATAAGATGGCAGTTACTGCAACGCTCAGATAGCAGAGGTAGCCTCCACTGTGCTTTGTCTTAAAAAGGGGGCATATAATTGTAGGTTTTAAAGGAGAAACAAAATTCTTACCCCCACATCAGTACCTCATGTTCACCCCAAACAACACCAATTTGTTTTGTGTAGCCGCTTCCCTCAGACTGAAACCCCCCAAAAAAAAAAAAAAAAAAAAAAATGTTTTGTCTGTGGTTTAATTTGGCTGCCATTGTGGCAATGAGAACATCACACTCCAAAGTGATTAGCCTTTGTTTTCATCACAACCCATTCAATAAATCAGACAGGGCCACACCTCAGTTAAAGTGGCCGGCAAGGATGTACATTAATTACATTTTAATAGGCTCTTCCACTTAATGTAATAAGGATAGCATGAAGCAGACATGAAGCCATTGTGTCCCTGCTATTTTTCCTTTTGTCGCTGTTGTTGTCATCACTGAGAGTGGTTGGAATCTAAATACTCCAAAGTGCAGGTAAAGAAGAATTGTCTGGTAAGCTTTGTTTTGGCAATTGCCTGTTGTTCAAACAGCAACGTAATCCCGGCTAATTTCAGATATAAACATGCTTAGACACTAGCAGGAGAACAAAAGGACCATTGAAACACTTTTCACAGCTCCAGTTTTCCAGGATATGCAATAAAACTCACTAATTCTGATGAGTAGCTCTCAGAAAAAGGTATGAAATGTACAGATTTTAACTGCTCAAAAAAAAATACGATATCCTATTCAATATTTGTCTCCAAAACATGAAGGGCTGTATTTACAACGCCTTCTTCCTTAAAATGAAGTACAGTGAGCTTCTTCCAGATAATTGCAGTGTTATTCTCTATAGTGAACTATTATTGGTGTTATTAAGTGTTGCAACTTGACATGATATGGATACGTGGCAGATATCAGAAGTAGTCTGGAAGCAGTTTTTTGGGCCCAGTTAGTTTCCAGTCTTTGTCTTACAGATGCTGACTAAAGGCTACACCCTCTGATTCATAGGAGTTCTTCAGCTAAACAAGGAGAGTCGTGACACAGGAAAGAAGTAAATTGCAGGAAACCATTTGCTGACACCCTGTTGCTTTTGACATGTTTGACAGATATACTACTTCTTAATGTTAATATTAAGTTCAACGTACTCACAAGGACAAAGCCAACTGTGCAGGTGAAACCTGGTGTTAAGTGTTGACCATATTCACTCATACAAAGCAAAGCAGGAAAATCATATCTATCCACATGCAGTAATGCTCATAATATGATATAACACAACTATTAAACACATAATAAATGTAACAACCATACAACACCTACAAACAGCAATTGCCATGGGTAGAAATCTGGTGATAAAAGGTTTTCCAATGTGAAAACAGAAACTATATACCAGCCAACTTATATGTAATACACACAAAATGTTACATTACATTCATGGAACATTGCAAATAGGTAAGACATGGCAATGTATTTGTTTTTTACATGCTATAATAATAACAAAAAAGCAATTTAAACATCAATATTTCAAGATTTTTGATTAATGGAGGAATTGCACAGGGTAAATATTCAGGGGACATTATTAAGCTAAAGTAGGCAGGATACAGGAAGAGATTTTTTTTTTCCAAATCGATCAAAACCTCATCACTAAGACACAAGGAGGCCACGAGGGTGGCTTTCTGTCCTCGCTGTTTTTGTTCTCACATTTGCTCATTTGGAGGGTGGTGAAGCTGTCTCAGGGTGAGATAAACTGTTTTTTTACATCTTCCAAACAGACATGGTGTTGACATGGAAATGGTTCAGTATTCCAAGCAGATCTTCCTTATTGGACACAGTCCAGTCTAGCCACGCCCCTCCTCTAGCGCAGGGGAGTGATGTTTTCATTGTTAGTGGTTTGACACCGCACACCCTGTCACAGTTCTCAAGAAAGGATGCAGCTGCTCTCAAGTTAATCTCAGTCCTCCAAAAAGACATAAAAAAGAGAAAATCACACAGGATGTGTGTCATGCAAAGACCAAAAAAAAAGGGGGTCTTAAAGGTTTTGCTCATAAACCTCAGCAGGGCCCCGGGATGGGAGTTAAAGAACAGGACGAGACAATGACAGATCGGTTCCACATAAACACCGACAGGAAAAAAAAAACAGCGACACCAAGATGTAGGATGTACAGAGGGGAAATAAGATCAAGCTGATTGCGCAAGAGCAAGAGCAGCACAATATTCTTTTCTTTCACTGCTACATCTTATGCATTCGTGTAATTCAAGATTTATGTGGATGTGAAAAAATATTTGATCATGCTGTACTATTAACTTGCACAAGAATGGCAGTGTGTACACAAGCATAATAAAAGCACATATCTGCATGTATTCACATGTCCTATGGATCGATACTAACATCTGAGTACATAAATATGCATCTGAACCCAAACTCTATATATGTTCATTTTTTATGTCTGTAGTTGTATTCATGAAGAATATTTTAGTCAAAGTATTTCAGGATTTAAAAGGTCTGTTGTTAGTGGTGTCTTGTAAATGTAACTGACCCAAGCCATAAGGCAGAGTCTTCCACTTGTTACAATGCTGTTCACAGATAAGAGAAGCACTCAGAGTATCAACACAGAGTAAAAACAAACTTTACATTCAAGCCAACTACAGTCTAATTAACTAAAGTTCTGTGGATAGCAAGCTTATACATGTGTTACATTTTTGAAACTCTTAAACAATGTCAGCTGGTGAAATTATTAAAGCAAAATGTTGAAAAAGAAAGTATGAAATGTAACCACAAGGCCAAGGCAGAGATACAGGTGGGCTCTGGAGGCATGAAAGAATGAACACATTAATAATTTAGGAACTCCAGGCCTTGTAAATTTAAACAATGTGACAGATTCAAGACTGTTTTCCTGTGCATGAGGAAGTGGTGTTGCCACCCTTGGACAGCTGTGTGAGCCGCGAGAGCCGCTCCTGCTGACCGCGGAATGGCGGTTCCCGTGTACGGAAGGTGTTCGGGCCCGGATCCTCTGCTTTTCAGGAGGGCCTGAGCCCAAAGCTTGCCCGGAGGCATTCGCAGCCCGGCTCCACAGCGCGACTAAATAAAACATCGCTGCGGTGTCACTCCGAAAAGGCTGTGACCCTAGAACAGGGAAAAAATGCATCATTTATACCAGCAAACAAATAAGACGGTGAATGCGAAACTAGACGAAGGCCAGGTCTGTAGGCCCCTTGGCCGATGTGTCTTAGACACAGTGCAGCAGCTGTAGGTGCATAGGTTATATCTGAAAATGGTATTCTTCTGAATTTCACTTGATTTGTAAAGGTGAAAACATGATTTATACAAAATCATTTTTAAATATTCTTAAGGTTTCTCCTCTTCTTATCTCAAAGTGCATTTAGAAACAAAATATGTAAAATATTAATTTATTATTTATATATTGTAAATTATTTCATATGTACTCATTTTAATTATTCACACAGGCTGTTTATAACTTAAAAGCATTTTTTTTCTTTTGCACTGCTGAAAATAGGTAGTAGTGGGGGTATCATTAGTTTGTATTTTAGAAATTAGAGTTTTGACTTTTTGTTATTTAAATGATGAATATTTAGTTTGGGGAGTATTTTTCTTTTTAATTGCTTCCTTCCTTCCATCACACCTGGATCTCCAAGGACAAGCCCAAGAGAGTATCATCCTGTTATTCTTCCTTAGAAAAGTTAATGAATACAACAGTGTGATTTTCCTAAAGTGCTGTGTTAGAACAGAGAGAGAGCGTTATAATCAAATGAACTCATACTCTCTGGTCACCCATTTCAATTCACACATTGTTATGGTGGCAAAGCTTCCATTCTGATAGAATTCTAATGAAAGTAAGCCTTCCATTCTGATAGAATTCTAATGAAAGTAAGCCTTCCATTCTGATAGAATTCTAATGAAAGTAAGCCTTCCATTCTGATAGAATTCTAATGAAAGTAAGCCTTCCATTCTGATAGAATTGTAATGAAAGTAAGCCTTCCATTCTAATAGAATTCTAATGTCAGATCATTAATCAGCTTCACTCACAGCAGACTGGCAGAATCTTTTTACAGCAGTAGACTGCTTATATAGGGGTACCTGAAGACGAAGATTTAAACAAACCAAGTCATGTTTGTGGTATGGCAGTTTTGTCTCAGTTTTAACTGTTTCTGTAGTTATTTTCCTTGTCTGATTTTACAGTAGGAAAGGGGAAAAGGCATTCATTTTCTGGTGTTAG